AGAATTATTAATCCAAGTAATAATTTTTGCATTGTTTGCTTCCCAGGCATCTATCAAAGCATCATAACCCTCATCAGTATTCTTAGGTTTCACAGAAGTTCCACTAACATATCCCCACATCTTTTTACCCTTAAGAAAATTTCTCATCACATAACTACAATACGAATAATTATTGTCATCTAACCTCACACTCACAGACTAAAGCGAATCGTCTCTTTCAGTAGCCATATTCAAAAAACAAAGAAAACCAGAATGCAAAAGAAAGGAAAACGAAATACCAAATTGCAAAAATTGAACGAATACCAACGAAATACCAGATTGCAGAAACTGTCTGCCCTGAACCCCGATAAGGGCGCGCTACCCCCTGTAGACCCCCAGCCAACTCACCGCAGAGTTGGATCGCGTAAGCTGTGTTTAAGATTAAGCCTCGTCCCATGAAACCTTGCTCTGATACCATGTTAAACAATCCAAAGAAAAAATAAAAAGAGAAGGCTAGGGTTTCATTGATACTGCATAATGCAATTGAATACGAAAAGTATAATTTGACCTAAATACAAAGATATATATAGGCTAAACAAAGGAAATAATGACAAGACAGATCTACCCTTACTAAACAATAAAACAAAATAACCCATATTTCTTAACAGTTTTTTCTATAAATATCCGACTGTGTCTCTACAGCAAGAGTTGGATCAGCTATCGCACCGTATGGAGCAGTCCTTCCCACACTAGAAGGCACATTTGTAGGTCTTGTGTGAGTTCCTTTGAGCTCCGACCACAGCAAGCCAAAAGGGTGCAACTTATTATCATTCTGAATTGCAATGCCAGAATCTATCAACTCAGTTGGACGAGAGGGTTGGACACTAGTATCATGAATGTTCCCAAAAGACTTTACAATAGGATATCCAGTATTCCCTGTTGATACAATACGATGGATGGCAGTCCATCTCATGGGGACGGCCGTCCTTATAAGATGGATGACCGTCCACAACAGATGGACTGGCATCCATCTACTGTACTTTTTGGACGGCCGTCCATATTAAAGGACACCCGTCCCTAGAATTTGGACGCCCGTCCATTTACGTTAGTGTTCTATCGTCCAACGTGGCAATGTTCACGTATTTCAGTATAACTGTTCGGTACCAATCTTTCGGTGGATATAGCATTTTTGTAATATTAATGGCTAAGGAGACAAGAAATAACAAAAACAGTATTGTTAATTCGTTTAAGCGGATATGACCAATTAATAAAATTAATTGTCAGCTGACATGTTTGTGACTTTTATAATAATTGGAATTTGCATGCTTTCTCTTAATTTGATCTTTGAATCCTCTAACCCTATTTTGGTTTCTACCCTTTTTTCTCGGATAGTCATTTATTCTTAGGTGCTAAATATTGACTAATATTACAAACACTCTTGTGGTTTCAAAGATTAAGTTATACTTATATCGGTCAATGCAATATTGTTTTATTATAGGTTTTATTTTGTAAATTACGGATCCGAACCTGAAATTTTATTTTCAGACTATTCTATTAATTTCTTTGCTTTTGATATCATTTCAGTCCAATAAACTGAATCTAACGGTATTTCTTATTTATAGTATCATTTTCTTCCAATTCATAAATGAATTCATAGGACATCGGTTGATGATTTTATAAATGAATAGCCTTGTGCTATTTTTGCATTCTCGTTATTTAAATTTATATATTTTATCATATGTTAATCTAAATTTATAAAACAATATACATATATTTTTTTTTTCTTGTACTTTTATTAACTTAATAAACTTTTCCCATATTGTGTATAAACAAAGTTATTCATGGTGTCCCTTATTCTTAATCTATGGTTTCAGAAAGAGTAGAGTTGGAATAAATGTGACAGACAGTGACAATATTTCATCAACTTGTATTTACATTTATATATTTTTTCCATGTTAATCTAAATAAATTTAGAAAACAAAAAAAATGTTTTATTTTTTGTACTTTTATTAATTTACGTAATCAATAAAGTTATTCATGATGTCACTTATTCTTAATCCATGGTTGCAGATAGAGCAGAGTTGGCATAAATGTGTCAGCCAGTTACAATTGAACATCTTATGAATGTGGATGCCTTAAAAATATACTAGATAGTTTTTTTTTTTTTTTTTTTTTTTTTNTTAAATTTGTATAGTTTTTGTTTCTTAAATTATTAAAATTGGAAAATTGAATGTTATTAAAAGTTATTATTTTACTTTCCATTAAAATCTCTCGTATTCTTAATTTAAATTTAATAAGATAAATTCTTCAAAACTCAAATATTGTTACAAAAATCATATTTAAAACAATATATATACATTTAACCACTATTGGGTGGCCCGATCGTAAAAAAATAAAAGGAGGTTCCATTAACTTTAGAGTTTGAATCCCCTAGACACTAATAGAGGTGATCATTTGAGCTTTTACTCGATCGATAATTTTAAAACTATGAAAGAATAGTTGAAGTGGCACAAACTGGTTCGAACACTCTCATTGAAAATAATATATATATAATTTCAATTATTCAAATGGATTGTACAGAAAATATGGATTAGGGAACCTGTGGCTGTGGTTGTGGATGTGGATGTTTTGGAGAAAAGTAATTTTCAATTAATTTTTAATTTTGGGAATTTTAGAGGAATGAATTGCTTGGTTGTCTTCTATAAATAGGTAGAAAACTATAGTTTTTTGCATAGTAAATTAATCTTTCTTTCTAGTGTTGAAAATCAGTTGAGTTGTTCCATTGTTTTTCTTTTTTCTTGTTCTAATACAATTTACAAAGAAAAATGGCAATTCAGGGAAGTGCATTTCTCATCATGGGGCTTGTCATTAGCAGCTGCTTTTTCTCTGTGGCATTCGCAGTCTCTGGCACTCCCACTTTCTATGACCTTATGCAGAGTATAATATAAGTACTTTGATTAATTCTTTATTTATTTATTATTATTATTTTTGACGTTTTGTAAAACAGTTTTCCTTTATTATCCAAAATATAAACTTTTGGGCATGTATGAATTGTACGTACCTATATACATTAAAATATGTATGCAAAATTAAACTCATTAATGTAATATTAACTTGTTCATTTTGTAAATTTGTTCAACGAGGGTAGCATCTTCATGCTACGGCAGTCAGAACCAAGAGGTGATGGTTGCGGCCAAGAGCGACGCGTTGTGGGAGAACCGCGCCGCATGTGGAAGAATGTATAGTGTAACATGCACTGGAGCTACAAACCAAGGAGTGCCTCAGCCTTGAACAGGGGCAAGTGTTACTGTCAAGATTATCGATTATTGTCCCCCTGGGTGTCAAGGAACCTTAGATCTCTCCCGAGAGGCCTTCTCTCAGATTGCTAATGTTGACGCCAGAAAAATCTACATTGATTTCACTCAGTAAGTATATGTATCGATTACTTATTTAAACTAAATGTGACAGTTGATTTGATATTATATATATTATAAAAGTGATAAAATTGTGTCAAACTGGAGTCAAGATATTTGAATACAATGATAACGTTTTTGTTTTCTGGTGATTTGCAGGGTGTGAACTGTGAAGTTCTCCTGTAGGAGAAATGTCAAGCTCTTGATATATACTATAGATGATAATAATGTTGAGAATAAAACTGAAATAAGAGGGCTTGGCTTGGAAAAAAGGAAGCTTGGTCTATTCCTTCTACATAAATAATTTGTATTGGAATTATTGTATGAATATTTTTATCTATTTGTCTTTCTTCTATATCTGAAATAAGATCGAGGCTTGACATGGGAAAGGAGAATTACTTTTTCCGTTGAAGCTTCCACTGGAAATATGAAAATTATTCCTATGTCTATTTCTGTTCCAATTCCACATTTCGTATACGCCAAATAATTATATAATTATTAAAATTTGTAAAATGAAATGCATTGAACAATAAACAATGTTATAATAATTAGTAAAATTTTGTTATAGCTTAATTAATCCAACATAATAACGTACCTAATACAATAAGACTTGAGAATAAAATAAAGCAAATTACATGGTCACCGACTATGTACGGCATAAAGGAAAGCTTATCTCATATTTTCATTGGTTTTATAAACAAATAACGCCGTTCATTTCTCCGTTAATCTTAATATATACTTCTAAAATTGAAAGTGAAGTCTTCTTAAGAATGGATGTTGGAAGATTCATTGAAACAACACTATTTTTGGTACATTTTGCAATGAAATTTAAAAAAAACAGAAGTTCTATGTAGATCACAATTTAAGTAAGCTTCACACTTAAATTGACTAGACTAATGGCAGCTTTCAGTTTATTTGTTTTTATCATTAACACGATCGACGGTTAATTAAATCTAAAATTTGCGTAACATATATGTTATATGTATTACTCTGTGGTAATACAATGATACCCAATGATTTCTCGCAAAAGAAATGTTTGTGTTCTATTTTTACATTTTTTTTTTTTAGTTTATATGATAATCTAAATGATCAATTATTGATTAATTATATACATATGAAGTTATATTTGTTGGAGTTCTATACTGATTAGGCACACTAGAGTTTACTGGTTTATAAGAGAGGGTAATCCTTCCATTCAATAAGGTCTTATTGGATGAGGAGTCAAGCACACCTCAAATTCTATCATGGTATCAGAACTTATATTCAGTTGAGCTGAGTACTTGATGAGCAAGTAATTATCTCCAATAACAAGCATAATCCCTTCTTCCCCATTCAACAAGGCTTGATAATTTAAATTCAAATAAATCTAGTTAATTAATTATCTATTAAACCTTTAAAAAGAAATAGTGTGAAAAGGGAGATAATAATCGATATATATATTGTGAAAATGGATTAACATTCTTTATCGAGAAAAAGGAGTAATTAATCTTACAGCAATTATTAACTTTTGAACTTTCATAATATTACATAAAAGATACAACTTATTTCATAATTTTCTGCTTATTTAAAAAATCATCTTCATCTTCTTCGCTTGGAGAACCCTTTTTAACTGTAAGAGTTTCAAGCCCTGCAAATAACAAAACAATAAAGGGGAAAAAATTAAAACAAAAAAAGAAATTGGAAACTATATGTTCCATTACTGATCATATGTGAACGGTAAACTTACTGGTTAAATTCAATTTTAACATTGCCGGCATCAGTATCAGCAATAACAGCGAAAGCATCTTTAGAAAGATTAAGAGTTCCATTGCACTGTGGTCTACAATAATCAACCACCGTTACCACGACACTAGCACCGTCGTGGCAAGGGTGCGGCGCCGTATTCGTCGCCCCTATGCATCGCACTCGGTACCGTTTTCCGCACGCTGCTCCGCCGTTCCATAGGGCATCGCTTACCCCTGTCACCATGTTTCCACGGTCTTGGTTCTGATAGCACGCCGAAGCTGCCCAAGAACATATATAATATACTACAGTGTCAGTACTGATCTGATAATGTCATTACGTTTTTGAAATAGTTGGATTGACATCAATCGAACGATTTTGGAAACGGGTAATTAACGTTTAAGTTAATATATGGAGGATAGTAATGAAATTTACTTACGGGTATAAGGGGGATTGTAGTAAACAGCATTTGCTTGATCGGCGTGTGTTGCTGAAATAAGGCATAGTGCGATGCCAAGAATCATAAATATTTGCATCTGAATCGGCATTTTTGGTTCCTGAAAAACAAGCAATTCAGTCGGTGAGTTATGTTTGTAGTGCAAATTAGAGAGGCTCTCTTCCTTTTTATAGAAGCTGAAAAGACCAGTTTGTCAAGAACACCGCGTCAACCTACCAATATACGTCTCCTATAAAATTATTTAATTTAATAACTACTAATCACTGTTGATAAATACTTACATTGGACCCTCTTACCAATTCACTTTGGTAATGTGGTCAGACCATCCAATGATATAATGACATGTGTTGTTATATATTTATTAAATTTCTTTTTTCATTTATCCATCACAACCACATTAAAAAAGTGAGGTGGTGGGACTTTACCATATAAGTTTTTCTCATCATTACTAATCAAATTAACTATAAAAATAAATAAAAGAGAAAAAATAAATAACGAGTAAATGATTTCAGTGTGATATTCTAGATTCTGTCTCAAAAAATTGATAATTATAAAGATATTACATCATTTATATGGCAAGATGACGAGAGATTATGATAAAACTAGAAATCCAATAACGGGATGAAAATTAAATTAGAATTCACTTTTAAAATTCTTTTATAACTAATAATACATTTACTATTGTTATTGACAAGTTTTTTTCTTGACTTAACTAATAGACTTGTTGATGCTTGATTTCGAGACCAACAACTCACACGTGCAAAATGTTAAGCGGGCTTAGAAGTTACACGTGATATGGAAATGTGTAACAAGAGAGTAAATAAAAGACGGTTTTTAAAATGGTTCGGATGCTCAAAAGTGATTCCTATGTCTATTGTAGTTGTATTAATAGATGGTTACAGTCAGGTCGTATGTAGCGAGCTGAGTTACAATCGGGAGATAATATAGAGAGAGAGAGTGTGTGTATGTTGTTTAAGACTAAAGATAAGCCAATCTCGTAAATGAGAGAGGAGCCATCTATTTATAGTAGGAGGATTCAAGGTAATAATCATGAGCTTAAAGTCTGACAGGTGGGGTATAATTCTTAACCCGCTTCCCATTGGTTGTCTGCACAAGAGATATCATTAAATTGTATAGGGCTTAGGCAGGTGGACGATTCCTAGCCACTCGCAAGCATGTCGTTCACCTGATATACTGACGAGAACTATACCTCTTCCGTCATTACACGACGTGCCAACGTCTAGACCACACAAAACCTCCCTAAATTCGGGTTGGCTCTTGCTAACAAGAGTCCACGCCAACCTTTACTTTTTAGGCATCACAAGACTAATGGCAGCTTTCATTTTTCTTGGTGTGAAGTGTGAAAATAATGAAGTCCTCCATCAAAAAAGTATTGCCTGAACTTGCGTTTCAAACAAGTATGGCCCTCTTCTTCAATTTCTCTTCAATTTCTTACCTGTTTTCTTGAAAACTAATGCTCGTGAAGAAATGGCTTTGTTTAGTCAATAGTCAATGCATGCATAGTGCGATGACTTGTATTGTCCCTCTGCTTCCTCGTAGGTTCAATTTAACAACTCTTTAATTTCTTGCTGGTAAATGGTTCAAAATACAAAGCTTAACCATTGACTTGACTTGCAATGACTTGTATTATTTCCGTTATTAGGTCAATAATTTTTTTAATTAGCATGGAATTTCAGAATTTCTCATATTAGTTACTTTTAGTTAAAGAGAGATGCCATCTTTTAACTTAAAATATTGGCTTAAACCTGACTTATAATAGAAAAAAAAAAAAGGTTGATTTATTATATATGAATGGGGTTTTTCTTGACCTGTTTGAGGTTTGATCAGTTAACAAATTTTTCTCTAAAATTTCAAAAACAATATAAATCCTTTTGCTGTTAGTGTGTCGTTAGAAATTATAATAGGATAGATTAATGAATATTTATATAATTGCCCCTTTGTTGTTTAATATAACACCAAATATTTAACGGTAGAGAGATTTTAATTACTACACAATTTTTTTTAATTTAATTATACCTAAGAAGATTATTTTATTAACTCTATATATATAGTATAAATAATTATTAATGTCATATTAATTCCACGTTTTCTCTAATTATTTCTTAAATTGTTGTAAAGAAAAAAGTTATAAAACTGTGGTTGTCTAATTGGTTGGTAGTTAATATAAAAAATAAAAACCAGATATAAACCTTAACCACAAATTTTTATTATTGTACACATGTCACTATTCTGTTAAAAGTTCAAGAGAACTTATGCCTAATTCTTTCCTTTTACCATCACCTTAGCTTGTAATACATAATTCTATATCTTGGTGTGAAAAAAAAAAAAAAAATCAACTATAATTTTCTCAAATTATTAAATGTGTACGGTACAATTTAATCCTCGTCTAGTCAATTCTATAATTGGGTAGCTATCAAATTAATTAAGTCTCTCAACATTTTTTTTGTCATTTGGTATTAATAATGAAGTAGGCAACATAAAAATATAAGATATCTCATCAAATCTTGTTCTAAATTCATAGGTTCCTCGTATTTTAATTTAAATATGTGAAATTAATA